CCCGCTTAAAACAATGCTTTGTTGTTTTCTAGCTTTTTTGTAGTGCTTTGGTTCTTCTTTATGACTTTGTATATATTCTTTGTTTCTTGTTTTGTGGTCGAGTGGTGCAATTTGGATGGAGGTGAAAAGGAAAGCATGAATGAAAGGTGGATCCTACCTCATAATATCATTAATGGATTTATTATAAATATGCTCTCAGTCTTTGAGCTACAATTGCACATTATTGTTTATCTCATCTCTTAGAACAAAATAATTAGTTAAAGAAATTTTTATTTATTTATGGGTTATTTAACCCTAATTGTACTTTATTGGTAAGATTAGTGAAGTTGACGTTCCAGACTTACAATGTTCGAAAATGTATACTATATTAGTCGAACTTCGTTATCAATTTGGTATGTTATTTCCTTTCTCATCATTAATTTCTCGTATTTATTTGTGTTGACTATATTATTATCGTTTTTAGTAGTATTTACTATTTTTTATTGTGAGGGTATTTTTATCTTCTACGTGATACCCCAACATTTTTTGGCTGGAGATGGATTTCTGGTTTACCAAATAGAGAACAACTCAACAAAGTTAGTTTCTAATAACGCAACATTTTTCTGGAATCACACAAGTCCCTACATTAACTAAATTGTAACTTGGACTACTTCTTCTTCTTTTTTTATTTTATATTTTTTATTTTAAAAAGAAAAAGAACTCATGAATGAATCACAAAGCGGATTGTCCAAGTTACAATATGTAAGGGTGGCTGGACAATTATGTGTATAGATTTGAATGCCATTAGCAAACAGAAGTTCAGAGGAAAGATATTCCAAAGACATGGTTTGCGTAAAAAATCCCAGTTTACCAAATTTTACTGGTAGACTAATTTGTGATCCTCAGTTTGCTAATTTTCTTGAGTAAACCAAATACATAGGATCTGTACGGCCGGGATTTGGAGATATATCCACAGCCTAGAAAAAAAAATACAATTCACAAACACATCATAAGCCATACACATACATATGCTGTTAAAAGAATAAAAGATCATTATTTCTCATTCTTGGACTTAAATTATATATCTATGTCAGTAATTAGCTACTGCAAGGCAAGAACCCGAGACTTTTTACGTTTTCATAATTATCCATGGAAAATATTCTGGACATTGAAACATATGATTTGTATTTTGTAAAGAAAAAATGTAAGGTTAATTGGCATATATAGCTATGTTACATTATGTACCATATATTTAGTTGTAAAAATGATTTGTCCAAACAATATGGAAATGGAAAATTACCTCAGGTGGCTCAAATCCTCCAGCATAATGAAAATATGCTCCTACTATCATTACATGATCAGCATCTCCAGTTGATGTCCAAATCGAGATTGCCTTTGTAAAGAAGCAACGGTTGGAGAAGCTTGCGGGCAAAAATTCAAGTACAAAATAAATTGAGGGTTCAAAAATACCCGAAAAAAGTGTCAGCAATATAAAATCCACTACATATACCAAACCTTTCATTACAGAAGATATTCTGAATCTACTGCCATTTATGTAATCTCAAAATGACATGCTTTTACACCATATACTTTAGTGAGGTGAAAATATTGTAATTATCACCTTATAATAGCAAGTCCACCTGGTTTGAGGATGCGAGACATCTCCTTGAATACGTCAATAGGCTTCGTTAGGTAATCAACACTAACCTGAAACGTATTAAATCTATATAGATCCAAAATTTCACAATCAAAAGTAAACAGTAGTTTTTTTTTTTTCATTCAAAATCGTAAACACTAAGAATTTGTGCATGGGAATATATATATCAGGGTAAAAAAGATGTCAAAAATAAAGATATTAATGTAGATTTGGTATACCACATTCGTAATGACATCAAATGTGTTGTCTTCAAAAGGGAGTCTAGGATCAACGTTTAAGTCTTGCACAACGTATTCAGTTAAAACCTACAAAATAAACATGACAACATAAGGATAATATCTACAAAAGATAATAAATTCAAACCAAAATATTCGGAAATTATAATTGCACAAAAATCACATATAAAAAACCAAATAATAATGTTCTCACAGGATTCCGCTTTAGCTCTTCTTCGTTCAATCCCATTCCAGCTATCCTTGATTGCTTATAACCTTTGGGATAATGACTGACCTAGATAAATGAAAACAGCCATGCCACCTTTAACAAAAGAAAAAAAAAAAAAAAAAAAAAAAATTCAGGGATTTNAAAAAAAAAAAACTCTGATAAGGAAAGCAATCTGAAGAAGATGGTATGTTAAACTCACCCAGCTGCTACACATGTCAAGCAGAGCAACTCCATGAGTATTACTCGGGGGAAAAACCTCCGAGTAGTACTTAGTGAGTGCAGCAATAGCTGGATCATCAATATGTGTCACAAAACGAGGAGATTCATAGAAAAATGTATCGGGTGTCCTGAAAAAGAAAAATAACGTCGATGTTGAAAATATTTCCGGGTGTCTTCCTAATAAACTCCAAATCTCGGGGGTTAAATTTTGATTTTCATCTTTTTCTGGGATGCCACATCACCCCTTTTCCCCGTCCACCACTCTTCAAAATATTCATGGTCATGAACTTGAAACTTTTAACAAGTTAAGGGTCATATAATTAAGCCACACAACTAAAATGACCAAATTTACCGAAAAATCCTTTCAATATTACAAGTAACCTTAGCATATGTATATTTTCTGTATCATGCAGTAAATCCAAAACGCAAGCATGACATTGAAAAACTAACTGATGCTTAAGAGACATTACTCGTCAAAGCGCTGAAAATCCTCTTCCTTGAAGGGAAATTGCTCTGGCCATTCTACATTCTCTAACACCTTCACAACAAAAGAAGAAAGCCAACAAATTTATCATAAAATAGTCCACATAAGAAAACAGATACTGAGCAGCAGATGGAAAGTAAGGTGCTGGAAACACCGAAGCTGAATACTTGAAAATATAACTTATAANCTAAAATTGTCATTTGGTCGGTCATAAACAACAATATTGTTTGTTTTGCCAAACTCAGGAAATTAACAAATGCTCAGAACATAGCAAATTTAACTAACTTCCCAAATGTAGTAACACCATTAATAACAGGCAATTTCATTTGGATAAGGATAAGTGTTTTGATACACAGAGTTAAGAGAACCAATATCCTCATCATCAACTCCTGATACCATTAGCACAAATTTTTTATAATTTTTTATTTTCTAGCCTCAACATATTTAAGATTCTGACAAGAAATGCCCAGTAACCAAGTCCAAAAGAAGTATGAGTTTTCAAATTAACCTGCCATGGACAATATAGAGGGAGGAAACGAAATTCTGCGAGCAAGACAAACCGAATACATTGTTCCAAAAGGATGAATTGAAAAGAAAAAGAAAAAAAATAAAAAAGAAACTTCGCATACCTTCTCAACAGCACCTTTTTGCCTGGCGTACGCCATGAAAGACTTGGCGCCAAAACTGGGAGCAGCCATAAGTGAGAACCCAATGCCTAAAACCAGCCTACGCAAGCGAGATGCTCTGTACCCACAAACTATTCTTGAAAATGGAGTGGGGAAAGAGAAAGGGATTGCCGACGGTACACAAGCATAAACTCCAAGCCCAGCCAATTGTTTGATGCAAAACCCGTTAGCCATGTTTATCTTACGGTCAATTACGACGAATTTAGCTCTTGTGTCATGTCCACTGCCGATTGGGTTGAAGAGTGGGAAAGATTATATGAGCAATTTTCTTATTTTGTAACTTTCTATTCTTATCATTGTCATTATTTTGCAGTTTTATTATCTGACTTCTTAGAAAATTATGAAACTAAGGGCGTGATTGGATATGAATTCAACTAGTAAAAAATTAATTTTTTTCTTAACTATAGTTAAGTTTGAAAAAATGTGGTATGGTTAGTTGTTAGTGGATATATTAAAATAATATTTAAAATAAAATAATTAAAGTTGATTTGATATAAAAGTAGAAAAAAATGATTAGAAGTGATTGTTAGTTAAAATTATGTGAGTGGATGAATAGTGAATTAAAGTTGATGTGATGTATAAAATAATTGGTTGATATTATTCAATTATATTAATAATATTGGAGATAATGAAGTTGAGTTAAATTTGAGTTTTGATTGGTTTTTTACTGTACAATCCGTATACAATCGCTCCCTAACTATCCCACATTTTTATTGCATACACAGGACCCATTTACATTATTTAGCAAATTTGCTAAAACTCATCTTTTTATTTGCAGAATTCAGACAATTAAGTGTATTGTTACTTCTCTTTAACCAACTTATCATCATCCAAAAACTCTCTCTCTCTCTCACCAAAAAAGCTTTCGTCCTCCAAAAACTAGATCGGAAGCGTCGCTGCCTCTCAGCTAGTGGCGGCTCTCCTCCCTCTAGTGGGAGTTTGAGACCCGTGGTGGTGCTAGCGCGGGTCGTCGCTCTGAGGGTCGCTAATCCAATTCTAGTATGGGTTTCCCCTCGGAGGGACATGGCGGGTGCGGTAGAAGCGGGGTTCAGGCGGCTTTGTGGTGGCGGCAGGTGTTGGACCTGCTGGTGGCGGTTGGGGCTCCCGACTGGCTCTCTGCGGTTCTTCCCTTCCGCCCTGTTTCGACTTTAATGTTGGGCAAACAGGGGCCTCCGGTGGTGGCGATGACAGCGCGATTTCAAGGTGTATGGTGGTCGTCTGTCGGTCTAGAGGTTTGGGCTCGACTGCGCTGGTGTTGGTCCGAGTGTGGCCAACTGGTTTGTGTTTCGTCTTAGGTTCGAATCTCGATAGCCGGTTGAGGAGTTTCTAGGTTTTGGCCGGAGATGATCCCTATTGTGCAGTCATCTTGGGTGTGCTTGAGCGCGCCATTGGTGGAGAGGGCTTTAGTCTAGATATTAAGTATTAAATTTTTTATGTTGTGTTTTTGTTAGTGTGTTTGTGTGTTTTGTTTCTTTTCTCTCCTTTTGGAGTGTGTTTTTCATAGTCTCCCTTTATGGAGTATGCTAGTCTCCCTCGTGGAGTTTTATAGTCCCATAAATTTTGGGTGTTTTTGTTGGTTTTGGCCATTTGGACCGTTGTGGGTCGTGTAGGGGAACACTAGTTGTGCTTTCCCCCATTTGGTTCCTTTTATAGTCTTGGCTAGTAAGGGTTATCAAGTGTAATATGTTGATTACCTGTTTTTACTTCCCAGGTGTGGTAATGAATTTTGATGTTTGAAAAAGAAAAATAAATGCTATAGTTTTGAAAAAGAATAAATGAAAAAAAATAAATCTCACTTTTTATGGTACTGACTCCCCACACATCCTTTTATCTTGTCAACCATGCCCACGCCTCTCTACACGCCACCTCTAATTGTAAGAATATTTATCCGATTTAATCATATATCGGTGCAGTGGAATGATCGAGATTACATACCTTCAGCCATTGCTTGTGTATGTTAGAGTTATTTGAAGAACTTGTAGAAGATAACGGTGAAGGCTTCGGCACGTTCACGTTTATTCGGTTAGGATCTTCTAGGCTCTTTCACTTTCTCTTTAGATGGTGTTAGATTCAATAAAAAAATAAAGTGATGAGCCTAGGGACCTTTTAAAACCGATGGTACTCTTTGGCAGAAAGGTACCTTTTGGCAGTAGACACCTTTTGATAGATACCATTTGGTGAAACGGTGTGATGTCTAATTATTAATTCTATCCATCACAGAATTAATATCAACCATTCAAACTGTATGGATTAAGGAGATTAACAGTATTTGTACTCCTTACAAAATAGAAACATGTGGACCACTTTAAATCATCTTGTTTATACATGATACAAGATAATTGAGAAAATGAAATACTAACACTAATTTCTCTTTCTTTCTACATTCAATTTTCTTTGATGCCATAGTTTTGAAAAACAACATGTATTTTCCCCAATATCTTATTCAGTGAGAAATAAATGCAAACAAAATATCACGGGTGCACAACATCGGATCACTGCGGGTCTGCGTCGCCAGGCGCGAGGATGTCGCGGGTTGCACGGGTCACAGAGAGCAGTAAGGCGTCGTGGGTCACCGGGGATGCGCACAGGGGGCTCACAGGTCTCGACGTCGCGTTGCTGGGAACTCACGGGTCGCAGTAGGTCGTCGTCAGTGGACTCGCGGTGGTTCACGGTGTTCGCACGGTGGCCGATGGTGGTAGGTGCTCAACTACCTAAGGATTTTCTATTGGATTTTTTAACACCTCTAGAACTCCCTTGGTGGTAGAGTCCCTTCCGCACATGCACGCGACCCGCGACAACCGTGAAGGCTCGTCCGGCTGCCCAACAGACTCTGTGATCAGACGATCTCCTCCAAAAGAAATCTACAACGTCTAAAAGCCGACAAATTATTAAATTATGAGTCTTCTACTTTTACCTTAAGATCTGTTGCGCATAAATATTTTCGTAGTAGAATTTGTAACTTGAACATAGCGACGATCCTTATAGAACCTAATAAGCACCACTCAGATAATTATTATTTTGTCGGAACATAATCCACCTCCAGTGTCTTAACATAAAAATCTTTCATGAGCTCACTTCGGGGTCATCATCAAACTAACGCACATGGTAAATGTAAATATTCTAACATCACACCATACACGCAACACTACTATCCAAAACACAAAGACTATTGGCCCAGCAGAATGGATCTCGCTTTTGGTGAATCAAAGTAGCAGCTAAGGTATGTAAGTGCCTCTTTATATCTTTCGGGTTAAGAGAACGTAATAATTAACCGAGACCTAGTTCGTTTACGATAATCAATATAAAACGAACTGCTCATCTCTGGAATGTGTTCAATACACAAATGTACTAGTGTAACTATTCAGCTAAGGTCAGTTGTATAATTCACACTACAACCGTTCTAATGGTTTGTTCATTTTCATCTAGGTTGTGAACCAATTATTTATGTTTCTCAAGTGACTGATAAAATGGTCTTTTGTCCATCCGTGATGAACCATTTTATTTAAGTGCAAAACAACAGAACATATAACTCTGTGTAATCAAACATGATTCTCATCCAACATAAAATAACATCCAAAGTCAATCTTTAAGTATATACACTAACACTCCGAAGGTGTGCTCGACTAAAAAGGTTGCTTTCCCAACCAGGTGTCATCGCAACCCTTCTCCCATTAGATGTTTCCTTCCTTACCACTGATATCGGCAGAAACTTCGTACAAATTGTGAATAAAAACATCGCCCCACTTCAACCATGGTGGAACTTGATTTCCCACAGACGTCGCTAATTTGATAAGTATCGTCCGAATAACTCCAGTTCTGGATAACCTGCTTTATATGGATCTTTGAATCGTACTTGACCTTCTCACTTGAGTACCTGAAAAAGCTTCGGGAGAATTCCTGATGTAGAGACTCGGACAATCAAGTCAGTCTTCGTATATGATAACCAGTAGAACGTAATTATACAATAATCATACCTCATCCCTTATATGTGAAGAAGATTATCTTTCGCCCAAGAACTCTATCTCCTCAAAGGAACCGAATATTCACATACCTTCTCGTGCTAGATCTTGTTCCATGTATATCGAATTCCGGGGATTCTCACAATCCTACCCCATTTGATGTTACGCAATATGGCTCTTCCAGGTCGACCCAGAGCCTTCCTGTGGAGCAATTCAGGTCCTCCGATACACTAGCAGATTATCTAGGTCCCAGACCATGTAGATTTTAGGTCGATAAGTCTACCTAACGCACCTTGGGGCATCTAAATACATATATTTTGTGGCTTCATTACATTCAAATTCTTAAGTTACAATGAATACAATGTACCTTCTTCCAAACCAATAGTTCTAAGGAACGAGTATATAATAGGGACATCTACTTATGTATAGTAATTAATATAGCATATAGAGTTTGGCAACTGTACGTGGAGTATTTAATCAAACTAATTATCCTAATAAACCAGCTTACTGTTCGCACAAAGCTCATTTCATGGTGTTTATAAATTAATATTTCCCTTAATAATTGGATGCCTTTCTGCAGATCCATACTACGCAGAAGGAAAACCAAGTGAAATTGACCTTCACATATTACTGCTCAATGTACTATGGAAAGGATGAAAACCATTTAGCATTACCTATTTGTTGTGTAAACAAAATGTTCACTGCACACAATTTCATACAACAAGATCTAAAAGGCATATCCCCCCTTATATATTAATTGAGAACGTGCTGAGTCTATGTGGCAGACTCGCATGCTTCGGGATCCTATGTGGCAAAATTACATGCTTCGTTATTAGACTTGGATAGATTTAATTTACTTCTAATCCAAAAAATATTTAGGTTCGGATGATCTATAAATATGTTGATTATTTATGGTAGGGGTAGGCACGGTCCGGGACGGTCCTGGATTTGACTTGTCTGGATACCCATCCCACTTTTATGAATCCGTCCATGAACGGTCCGGGATGAGGCACCGTCCCCACCCATGTAATACATGGGTGTTGTACTAGTACATATAGATTCGAAAACTATTAAGTTGGCATACACCTCCACATAGATGATAGCAAGGGTCTAAGCATATGAGTTTCAGCCAGATCCGAATGGATTTGATTAAACAACCTCCTAGTGATGATTGCCCGGAAAATTCACTTCCGTTCATGGTTAGCTGTCAAAATATGTCTATTAAACAACCTCCTAGTGATGATTAAACAACCTCCTAGTGATGATTGCCCGGAAAATTCACTTTCGTTCATGGTTAGCTGTCAAAACATGTCTATTAAAAACCCCTTACATTCATTCTAATTTCCAGAAAGAATTAAGGAAAAATGAGGATATCTTTGTTAAGATGCAAAAAAAACACTAAAAGAAGAAAAAAAATATAAAAAAAAAGCCCACAAAAAGAATTTCTCCTGTGCTTGCTTCTCATTCTCTATTTATTCTTACTCCAAGCTCTTCCAAGTATTCCTGTACACGTACACCCAAATTTCAAATTGAAAATAGTTATTTCAGCGATTATTAGCGTATGCAGTAACAAAGCAAACATTTTTTTTGCGGTAACCAAAGACGCAATCACTAAGGCTACTGTCTCCCATGCAAAATTGCAGCTGTGATACTTAATGATGAGGTAAAATGAAACATTATATTTTGTAAGATATTCAGATCCCAATATAAGACAAACTACAACCATCGGAATAACTGTTTGCAGCACAAGGAAGGGGGGTTTACGATGCAGTTAAAGCCCCCAAGTTTTAATAAGTCGATCCCAATAATACACGAGGCTCAAAATAAATTCACCTAAAGGAGACAACAGGAGAAAAATATATTTTGAATTGGAACCATGTGCTTATATTTATACTACACATGCAGCAAGTTGCAACACTGTAAATCACAACTGCTTAGAAGAACATACCAAATCACCAGAGCTTTCTCAAAGGTCCACCCACAAAATTTCAAATTTTCAAGTAGAGCGCAAGTTGCCCAGAGTTGTTATAAATAGCTAGTCTATCACCATGCACTTTTATAACCTCGATGTCCACAAGTTAAGGCACCACAAAAGAATGACCATCAAGAAAACAGCTTTGACAATCTGCATCATGATTAATGCAATGACATTCAGCACAATGGTGTTTTACCGTTGTACGTTGTGCATCAGCTGTGTTTACTGCCGGAGAACCAATAAAGAGTCAGAAGCTTTTAAATCTTATTTGGTACTGAACATTGAGAATAAGCATTGTAGCATAAAATCTCTGGTCACTTACCCCTGTTATCAACACTTCTGAGATTCCCTACGGGAAGATGACAGTTTTTCTAGGTATATATTATAGTAAAGCTTACTCAAATCTTCACCATCTTGTTCAGCTAATTGATTAGAGATTAAATCTTTGAGCAACAAATTCTAGTGTGCAAGGAGTGGAAAGCAATTAATGCAGTCACATAGATATAAACTTCAAAATTTTACAATTCCATCATGGGAACGCCACAAATCTTCATACAGACGGATCAAAATCGATATTGGCAATCGACTTCACAAAGATTGACGAAAGTAAAGGACTTAATAAAAATTAATTAAATCATTTGTTTCTGCTACCTCAGCATAGACTGATGTACCTTGTACAGAAAACTCAGCTCGGAAGGAATCTGTTTGCACAATTAAGAGCATCACATACACGATCCACATCCTTGTTGTTTTCAAACACAATTTTCCCCTGATGTTTCCACCTGATTATTCTAGCAAGAAGATCCCTTTTCATCTGGGGCCCACATTCGTCAAGCTTGATCTGAAGTAACCTATCCACACACTTCAACAGATAATAGCCAATCTTCAATTTCAACCGGTACACAAAATCTAGTCCCTCATCTTCACTCTGAAGCATAGATTGAGCAATAATCTCAGCTATATCTGTTATATCAAAGACCGTTTTACACCCCGCAATAGCATCTCGTTTAGTATACAGTTCGATCCTTGGGTCCCACTCAACATCATTCTTCCATCTCTTTTGGCTCATTCCAGGATTTGACATGTTTTTGGATTTCTGTAGATTACCAGTGGCAGCATAATGCAAAAGCAAGGAACACCATGCATCACCCAAATGATTAGGACAAGCAAGCAAGATTCCTAATGGAATCCTCCGAAATAACAGATTTTGTTGGGCGATGAATCCTTTGCTGTTTGAAGTCAAAAGGTCAACTTTTGTTCTTGAAATCTTGGTATAAGTGTCTTGAAATTCTTTGAGCCAGAGAGAAACTGGCAAAATATCCTGGTCTTGGGAAGTTAATCCGTCCTTACTTTGTAATTTAAGCCTCCTACCTGGTTTATGAATCCTTGTTTCCTCATTCTTTTTTTCACTTGAGCTGGAGCACTTGAGAGGCCATAAATCTGTAACTTTAACGAGGCAGTCAGCAGCCTGCCGTTGACTAGATTCTCTTGTGGGGTCCAGAATCCATGCAATAAACTTTGCAGGACAAGTTTTATCTTTGTGACCGATATATGAGAAGAGCAACATAGATGCAAAAAAGAACCAACCAGGGAAGTTCATCACCATGGCCCTGTATGCAATTAAACAAAAACTAACGATGTAAGATAGAAAATTCACAACTTAAATGATTTTCATGTTATTGAATTGAATTGAGAAGGTACCACTTGGATTTATGATCTACTATACCAATCTTTGTTGTGGTTTTCCTGCCTCCCAAACGAGAATCTGAGCCACATATTTTAGCAAGCAGTAGCTTAATATGTTCCTGGGATATAGGTCCAGCCAAAGTTCTTAATAGGCTATGTTCGTGCGGAAAATAGGCATGAGAGAAAGGCAGCTTTGATCCAATCTCCATGGATATTTCCCACCACATTGGTCTGGAGATTATATCAAGCAATTGCACGACAAACTCAGTCTGAAGTTCCATAATAGAAGCCAAACCCCTGTAATGAAAATCCAAACCTACCAAATGAGCGAATGAGTAATCAGATTTATTAAAAGCTGCTACATAAGTTTTAGTAAAATTAAACAGAAAAAGTGTTACAATCAAGTGATAGATACACCGAGTTAAGGCCTGAAGCTACCAAAATTAACATCTATAGTTTTTCATATTCAAAAGGAAAATATGAGTGTTCAGCATTGTGCATTTTGCAACAATATGGGAGATGTTAGAACAAATATAGCCGCATTATTTAATATTGTCAAGTAAACTGTTAAAAAGTGAAGGAGAACGACTTCGGCTGGGAAGCATGTAGAATGTGAACAATATTATATACTTACGTCATTAGGAACCAATTATGCAACAAGGCCCTCGTCTCAATGAACATTGAGGGTGAAATTACAAGGCAAATCATTATTGATTTCCACTCTGTCCTACCAAAAATTTCCGTGCCCAAAGAAAGAAATGGCCTTTCCATAGTTTCTCGCAGAAAATTTGATATGTCTTGCTTCAGAATAATTGGATCTAATTGCCATAGCATCAACCTGTAAAGCAGCTGTGTTAGACCTTAGACATCGATACATTTATCTATTTTACCAACCACTAAAATGATAGTAATTGATATTAATGCTACATTATTATGTTAAGTGAGTATTAAAATTAGAATAAAAAATCAACCTTAAGAAACAGAGACTCATTAGGAGATATAGAAAAAATAGCAGCAAAAACATTCCGAAGAAATTAATTTCCTTTGAGTTTAATTTAAATTTTAAAATAATTTGCATATATATGATTCAAAAACATTATTTTCATAAAATTCAAGCAAGAAAAATATTCAATTCCACCTAAAAAACAACTATAGAAATGCCTCATTCGCAAGGTACCGAGTTCCAGATTCTGAAGCAGTTCAAGAACCCAAAAGGGAACCAAAGAAATAACACGAGCACACATGTAAAAGTCAGAATATTTGGCAGATGAGAATAGGAGGGCAATATTAAAAGCAAGAAGAATTATAAAACATAACAAATATTAAAAGCAATTTGAAGACTCTGTTTTAGCAGTTATAGCTTCAAAAAGGATCAAGAAGGGCAGAACGAGAAATCCATTAGCCAGACAGTAAAAGCACAAACCGATCACCTTAAAGGTACTTTGCCATTCTCAAATGTAAACTCATTAATCATACAGCCAACTAAGTTTGCAAGAGCACACGTGCTGGAACCACTCATGTTCATTTTGAGATTAGAATCTGATGCATAGCTGCAGGCCAGAGCTGCCACTCGGATAACGTAATATGAAAGTGAAGCACAAAGATTACCTGTATCAACATCATTAAGGTGATTCAGAAAAATCGAGAACTAGAATTGCTACAACACATGCGTATGGGCTTCTTCGGAATATTTACATTGCTTTCAATACTTGGTTATCAATTTTGAATGCCTCAAATGCCAATTAACCAAGCATGAAAACTGTACTGCAATTTTGACAATAGTATTGCCATAAAAAACTATGGAACGCTACTGAATGAGTTAAACATATTCACTCCCTGACAAACGGGGGTTGATGGGTGCGGTCCCACGGACGAAGCGCACCAAATCAGGAAAGCCCAAATGAAGCCCAAGTGAGGTTCCATCCCAAAACCAATTGGTGGAAGGAGGAGTAGCTCATTAGGCTTATAAAGTGGGTCTATTTTCTATATATAGACGATGTGGGACAACTCAGAAGTGTATATTCTAACACTCCCTCACAAGTCTTAAAAATGGCAATACTTTTCTCCCATATGCATTGTCAAAACCAGTTCAACTAAATATCAATCTTGCGAAGACTGTAACATGAATAAAATGGAAGTAAATGAATGCCTAAGAAAAAAATATGACCTTTATGCCCGTTCAATTTCCGCAAAATATCGCTACACCATTCCATAACATCGACACAGTCCCTTTTCGAAACTAATCCTCCTACTCTCAGAACCTGCTCTTCTTTGACTTTCAGCACCTTACACTCAATTGAAGAACGCAAAACAGCAATAATTGTTCTCAATGTAAATTCGATTCCAGAGTCGTAGACCTACAACAAACAAATCGCAACAGTATGAAGGGAATTAACGAAATGCACAATAAAGAGTTCAGCTTGCAGAAAGCAGAGACCTGAGGAGCAGTAAAACCCATGAGTGAGAGGGCGGTGTCCAGAACGCGAACTCTAGGAGCCTCACTCAGGTTGAGTGTACGGTTGAGATTAGCAACAGACAGGTCTACTTCATTGTCGGCGGTTGGATGTCTGGCTTGGAGATTGGACGCGAACGTTGCGAAGAGAGAGGTAAGCTCTGGAATTCTCGACATTGGGGGAGAGAGAGATAGTTCCCGCCAATAGGTGTTACTTCTCTTGTTAGGGCGATTGGATCATCCGGATGCATATTTCAGTTTTCTTTCTTTTCTTTTTATTTTTCTTACGCTGTGTTTGGTTCCGAGGGGAGGGGGTTGAAAATAGTTTTACCTTGTTTGGAGAATTTTGTAGAAAGAGAGTGAAGGAAAAATAGTAAATCTTATTTGGTTAGAAAAATTGAGGGTAAAGAAAATATTGTAAAATTAACAGTTATACCCTTAATGATGTAATAAACAAAAAATTAAAATAATTCACATAAGAAGGACAAAAAAATAATTTTAAGTTTAAAAATAATTCACTCAAATGAAAATGTGGTATGGTTAGTTGTTAATGGAATTTTAAGAATATTAAGATAATATTTAAAATAAAATAATTAAAATTGATTTGATGTAAAAGTATGAGATAAATTATTGAAAACGATGAGTAGTTAAAATTATGTGAGTGGATGAATAGTGAATTAAATTTGATGTGATGTGTAAGAATGATTGATTTGTATTATTTAATTATATGAATAATATTAAAGGTAGTGGAGTTGAGTTAAAGTTGAGTTAGATTTTGAGTATGAAATAAATGTGAGTAAATTAACTTGTAAACAATCGGAATCATAATCCTCCCAGTTGGGAGCGTCTATCCCGTATGGGAATGCTTATTCTCCATTATTGGAGTTTGGTAATTTTGGTGTGTTGTTTAGTTTCGTGTTAGCGTAGTTTCTAGATGATCTTCGTATTTGTCCTCCCTTTAGATTCGGCTCTTTAGTTGTCTCACGCTCAGCTGTTGGGCTTGTTCCTAGTTGTACATTTGTATGTTTTCTACAAAAGTTCTATCTTTTTGAAAAAAAAAAAAAAAAAAAGGAATCCATATTCTATATATCTATATCACTACTATTATATATAAAGGAGTTAGAGGCTCTTATGAGGCGACTTGGGTTGAGTTCGGTGAAGACGCTTGCTGATGATGAATCTAATTGAGAATAAAAAATAAGAATCCTACACGCAACATAACAAACAATCAGATCAAATCTTACGGTTTTGATGTGCTGGAGACTTGGATCTAGGTTGAACCAGCTGAGAAAGACCTTCGATCGTCCCTGAGCTACTGATGACCTACAAAACAAGTGTTGGGGTGACTCCCGACGCGAGCACTCTGATGCACAAATCAGTACGAGGGAATAAGATGATAAGGTGCTTTTTATGTAGAATGTATATATCATGTAGAGAGTTTACTGTTGTACCTCATCCGCTTTTATAGAGAAATACCTGCCTAGGATTAATAGCTCGGGCTGCCCGATTGACCACGGTCAGCGTGCTAGACTGCCCGAGATTAGTTTTAATTTTCTTAGTGTATTTCCTAATCTCATCCTTGTTATCATTAGATTCCTTCTCATCATTATTAGATTTCTTCTTGTCCTAAATACGCCCTCGTACTCAGGTCTTCTCTTAGTTTGTCTTGATCCTAATTCCTTAGGTCTTCTTACCTGAATGTTCACCTCTATGGCCCCAAATTATTTCAGTTCGTCCACTCTTGTTATTTCCCAGTGCATGAGCTATGATCCATCATTCTTCCCTTTGTAATCCCTTTTGCAATGAGGTTGTCTTTGGAGGCTAAATTGTTTGTATCCGTTGGTCGACCCACTCACACTTAGCATTAATCTGATTAGCCCAATTATGACTATATCATCTAATCCCCACGAACCTACTCTATGCGATCTCAAGCTATGGAGTAAGATCAACTGTCAAAAATGTGTTCTGACATGTCAGTTATCATAAATACAAAGTTGAATGGAGTTTTTTGTCACATAGTCTCGTGAACGATCTGGACCGCAGATTTGCTCGCGATCCAATGGTCCTAGTTTGTTCGGGCCGGGTATAAATATCATTATCGCTTTCGTAAAAAGACTTTTACCTCTTCTAAAATCCCAAGCTTAAAAATTCTGCTTGCAACTCAGACTATTCCATACTTGTGTTTCTAGTTTTCGATTTTCACCCTCGATTTCCAGCTACTCATACTCGTCATTCATCAATCACCATGAGTAAGTTTAATTTATTTCAATATTATGCTTGTTTAAATTTTTTAACTTCATTGTGTTTTTCGTTGTTCTTCAACTTTCTTTTTTCCTTTTGTTTTGGTCTAATTATCTGTTGTTTTGCAAGTATTTGTATGTTTTTCTCGGATCACATTTTAGTTGAAGGATCCCTTAAGCCGTTTTATGTGATTTACGACCTAGACCTAGGTCTATGTTTCCTTTTACTTCTATATGTTTTACCGAGTTGTCACTAACTGTGGCTTACGTTTGCTTCGAGCTGTATTTCAGATGTATCGAAATCAAACTCTAGCGACTCCATTAGTCGCATGATTGATGAGTATTTCGGGTTATCATCCGTAAGAATAATTAGCCATGAGCTGAATGTGGTCGATCAACCTTGCCCTTCTAGAAGGCTGGTCGATGAGTCTGATATTGAGTTAAGGTGGGACTGTGATGTAGGGAAGCGTATGAGTGGGAGTAGAAGAGTAAAAATTCAACAGATTTCTTATGATTTTATCAATAACCAATCGGCCCTATGACAAGAGGTCACAATATATACAGTCCATGTCTCCTAACTAACCTATCTTGCCCCACAAGAAAGACTAAATAAATTCTACTTATCAACTTAAATAAGACTAATTAAGGAAAATAATAATAAGAAAGGTAATAATAATAACAAAGAACATGGAAAATAAATAAATATTTAATATCTTCATTCATCATCATTCTCCCCCGATTGAGTAGGATTCCCTCTCGAATCTGACCCGACCTTGTTGGCGGCGTCATCTGTTGTCCCACACACAAACACTGATCCCAAATGGAATCGTCCTCCGCCTATCCATCAATAAAAAATGATAATTGCAGTAGCCCAAAAAAACACTGTGATTCATAAATATCAACCGCGACCCCTACATGTCTACGACGCGCGTCCGTCAGCCGCTAGTAGGAAGAGTTCCACTTCTTCTTTTTTCTTAACCTCCAAATCAAGTAAAACTATGGCACACACAACTTCACCAAGGTCTTTGTTGGGCAGACACAACACGCAACACTCGGAAACTATTGGATGCGCTAAAAGACTTCTTCGATTTCTGTGGCAGATAATTTATATCCCCCAACCTTCATAATATCAACATCAGTACGACCCATATGACATAGTATCCATCTTATGCAATTATCTTGGACACCACACCAGGAATTGGCTTGCCAACTGTAGCACATTCATGCCATGACAAACTCAGTTAAGTTGTCCTACGGTTCGAACTCTCCTCATTGAAAACTGACGGTCCGTTGTAAAATCCATTCGCGTCGACGTCGTCTGTCTCCTCGATGAACAATGCAAGAGTCCCCGCTAGCCTAGGGCAAGCGACCTACTGATGGCCGACCTGCCTGCAACCGAAGCAACGCAGCCCGTCGACTTCCCGCGGGACACCTGCTGCCGCTGCCTGACCACCATACTCGGCCCCTACCGCGCATTAAACACCACCGCTGGGCGCGGGCGTGCGCCCAGCCCCCGCGGCTAACCCCGCCGAGTCACCTGTGCCAGTCACAATGCGCCCGGACTGCAGGCCCGAGCCGTCAACCTTGCGATGTGGCCCACGAAAATGGGTCGTCACCCACACTCTCATCCTATCGGCAATTATCGCGCCACCTAAAGCTGTCGTCATATTGTTGCGCCTGTTGAAAGCCGAAGGGGTTGACCTCCAACAACCTCTATTCTTCGTCGTCCTTGTCGTGCATCGGTGGTGGAGTACGCTAACGGGCATCTCGCCAGGCCCTCTTCCGCCACGACCACCCCAGACAGCCAAGTCGCAGTTCGTTTTCTCGTCTCGAACCATGGTATGGAGAGTTAGACGTATGTCCCTGATCTCTGCGGACAAATCCACAATGAGATGACCCATCGTCTCGAGACGGTGGACAAACCCCTCAGCCTAGCAGCTCAGGTTGTAGATGGCAGCGTCACGCCTGTCGTCTGCAGTATCTTGTCTTCGCAGCAACATCGTAAATCATGCTGAGTCTTGATACAAATTGATGTAAGAAAGCATTCGAGTGAGAGTAGAAGAGTAAAAACTCAACAGATTTTTTATAATTTCATCAATAACCAATTGTACCTATGACAAGAGATCACAATATATAGAGTCCAAGTCTCCTAACCAACCTATCTTGCCTTACAAGAAAGACTAAATAAATATCTACTTACCAACTTAAATAATACTAACTAAGGGCATCTTTAACAATTAAACCTCATAAACCTCCTTTTTACACTTTCCAGCATGCCACATCATCAAAAACCTTATTCTTACTCCTACACCATAAACCTCCAATAACAATAAACCCCATAAACCTCATTTTTATGGGACCCACATGTTTCCTACTTTCTTTTAATTATTTTTACCCTTATATTTTTATTAATATTTTAAAACTATAACTCCATCTTTTTATTTTTTTATTCAATATAAATGTTTCATATATTTGTCATAAAAGATGTAAGAAATAATATAATTATATATAAATATATTTTATTATTTATAATTATAGAGTGTTAATTACATATGGATGTAAAATTTTACTTCAAAAATAATATTATTTCAAAGCACAAAATTAAAGCAAAGCAGGAAATGAAAAGTAATATCAATATTAATTAAAACAAAAGTCACTAACAAAAAATTTAAACAAAGAGGAGAACGTAAATTCATAAAGAAGAGAAAAAAAATAAAAAGCTACAAAAAGTCACGTAAATTCATAAAGAGAAAAATAAAAATAAAAAGTCACAAAAGGTCAAGGAAGGTGTCAGTGGTGGGCTAACTTTTGTGAGGTTTATGTGAGGTTTTGATTTGTAAACCGGTGGTAGAAATGTAAACCTTAAACCTCACACATTTAATAACAAAAGTTGGGGAGGGGGTTTGTAAACCTGGGAAAAACTTCCTCACTAAAGATGCTCTAAGGGAAATAAAAATAAGATAGGCAAATAATTATAAAGAACATAGAAAATAAATAAATATCTAAGATCTTCATTCTTCATCAGACTGTTAGTGTGCTTACTTAAAGCTTGGCTTTTTGCGTAGTAAATACTATCTTTGTTTAAAATGAGAATCATGTTTAATTAAAGAGTCTTATGTTCTGATGTTTTACAATTGGATATTGTGGTCCATCACAGATGAGACAGAAGATCATGTATCGGTTACTTGTAAAACATAAATAATTTAGTTCTCAACCTAGATGGAAATGAATAACCCATCGTAAACGGTTTTAGTGTAAACTGTGAAGGGGACCGGAAAAAAAATGCCGCATTTGTGCAAGTCACTAATTAAACAACAACAATAAACCTATGCACAGCGGAACTAAGATTTAGAATTGAATACTTACGTCTTAAAAATTCACAGGCTCTGAGATGTTGTAGATTTCCGTTGATGGAGATCATCTGATTTGCATTCGTGGAAAATCTAGCCTCGTCGAAAGTCTTGGATTCATCGGGAGATTGTGCGTCCGAGCTCAGTCTCAGTTTTCAGGCGTGCGGTGACAGCTGTGTGCGGGTTGCCTGCAGGTCTGCACGAGGAATTTGCAGGTCGTTGGTGGACGGGAGCGGGACTGGCAGTGTGCAAGCATGTGCAGTGGTTGTCGGGATTGTGTCTCGGTTGGTCGCGTGCGGTGGCTCGCCATGTGATGTGCGGACTGTCATCAAGGTCACGTCAACCTTAGAGTCTTCTGGCGTATTACCCGACACCTCTCTGATTATCTTCGTGGGCAACAATCTCGGAGATGAACTCGAGAGAACTAGGGCCAGTCGAACGTGTTTACGCATGTGGGTGTGTCCAATCCTAAGAGATACATGGTGTATTTATATGGCTACAATAGGGACCTAAGGAGGTGGTGATATGGGCTTCTTAAGTCTTGGGCCTAACTTTGGGCCAAACCCATTCCGCTCGACTAAAATAATGTTTCGATCCACTAACAAAATATTATTTCACTCCCTCATCATGCCCGAATTATATTCAAGACTCCAATAATAATTACCCGAATTACCTCTCCACGATTAAGATATGATGCCTGTCAATTAATTCGATTACTGACAATAAAGAATTAATTGACATCTTGAACAAAAGCTAGTACCACTCAAACCATTATTATTATGACATAACTTAAGCCACCTACAGGGTTTAGCATAATAATCCTTCATGAGCTCACTTCAGGGACATCATCAAACTAACACACATGGTGACCTTAAATATTCTAACAACACACCATACACACAATACTACTACCCAAAACATAAAGACAATTGACCCAGCAGAATGGATATCGTTTTTTGTGAATCAAAGTAGCATCCAGACACTGTGCGACTAACGCTATCGGGGTTGCGCTCGATCGCGGGGCTACTGTGGTGGTGCGCGACAAAGGTGCGACAATGCACGGATGAGCAACGGTCATCTCGGGTTTTCATCGAGTGACCTCGGGACTTCTGTCGTATGTCCTTTACACGATCTCCGAATGTCTTAGTAGGCAACGTAAACAGAGAGATCTTGATTGGGATTTCTAAGACTCCTATGCTTATTTTAGGCGTGGTGTCACAATATCCCACAAGAAGATGTATATTTATAGGATACAACAAGGTCCCTAAGGAGATATACTGGTTTCCCAAGTGTGGGCAAAACTGATGGACCTCGCCGACATTTGCGTTCATACTTGAATAACACTTCAGTCCACTAGAGAAGTATTATTGCACTCCCCATTTAGCTCTCAAGTTACATTTGAGACTTCGATAATAAATACTCGATTTACCTCCCCGTATTTAAGATATAGTGTATATCAATTAATTTAATTACTATTAATATAATTAATGAACTTCTTGTGCCGAGAATATTACCACTCAATATTACGTCAGAATTTAATCCACCTGCAGGGTTCAACATAATAATCCTTCTTGAGTTCATCTCATAGACATCATCAGACTAACGCACATAATGACTGTAAATATTCGAACAACACACCATACACACAACATCACTACCCAAAACACATCAGATAATTGACCCAGTTGAATGGATCTCACTTTTAAGTGAATCAATGTAGTAGCTAGTGTATGCGCGTGCCTATTTATATCTTACGGGTTAAGACCACACCACAATTAACCGAGGTCTATTTCGTTTAGTTGATTTGTATAAAACAAACTTTTCCTTTATGGGATTCGTTCAATACACATAGTGTACTAGTGCAATCATCAGCCAAGACAAACTATATAATTGATACTAAAATCATTCACCATGGATCGTTCATTTTCATTTCTATATCTATATATATATAATAAGAATTACCATTTACTAAAAATAGTAGCAAAAAAATAGATCAGAATTTATTACAGCCTATAAATAGTAAGTTTTATTATTTTTCTTATTTTTTTCTTTAAAAAACATACAACATTAAAAACTACCTTAAATTTCGGGCTTTAATTCATTTTATTATTTAAAAAATCCGGCTAAAATTTATTAAGTGTGTATGTTTTTATTTTTATTTTTTCTTAAAAACAACGAACAACATTAAAATATCGGTCTCTATATTTATAAAATCTCAATTCAAAATATAAAAAAAGTTTTAGAATCGTGGTCTTTATATTTTTGCCGTTAAAAGAAAATATTGAACGCTAAAAATATTCTTTAAATTGCATAATCAATCAATTAATCTTAATTTTTTAAAAATTACTATGTTTATTCTTTATAATATGCATAAAGTAAAAATAATTAATTCATCTTTAAATATATAATTTATAATCTTAATATACTATCATTTGGTGTAGACATTTATTATATGAATCATAAAATATTTTTATTTCATAAAATTAAATATATTTAAAGAAAATAAAAAAATTTCTTCGAATCAATCGGGTGATTGAATTAGGGTATTGCCCAGGTTGATTGATTTACTTTTAGGTGATAATTAAAATAGCAAAAAACTGGACACAACTTGATTGGTCCCAGCTGACTAAGTTATATATCAATCCGACCACACCAAATCGATTATTGAACCTAAATATAATTTTTATATTGAAAATATTTTATTACGTGAATGTGATGTAATTCAAACTTCAAATAATCGTATTAACAATACTTTTATGACAACATGTTTAATGATTATGAATATTTATCTATCATTTTATTAATATTTATGTGAATTAAATAATATTTATTATAATATTTATTAATGTACAGTAAATATAAGGTTTTCAGAACTGGATCGTCATCAACGTTTAAGCTAATTCATTTGTGGTTTATTCAAATTTTAATTTATAAACATTTTAATACATATATATATAGTACTTTTTGTAATAAGTTTAAATAAAATGTGTTAATTAGATATCTAAACAATTTATAAATTCAAATGTTTAAACTAATTGATAAATAATTTGTAAATCTCTATTTTATTAAATATGTAATTTTATTTAAAATAATTTTTAATATAACAAAATTTATTTAAAAAATCGTATCGATCCTACCAGTCCAACCGACTGGTGTTGATGGATTCAAGAGCAAATATTTTATTCAAGCGAAGTAGACTGGTTATAAACCGGTTCTCGGTCCATCCAGTCGGACTGTGTCAAACCGGGTCTAATTTAAAAAAATGGATAAATCATGAT